TACATCTTATAAATTGCTAAAATCAAATGGTAGCAATCTTTAAACACTTTGGGGGAGAAACTTAAGTCAATAAATGTAAACTTAAGTTTTATGTTCTTAAATTTTCTTTGTAAACTTTCAATTTGGTATTGTTTATATAAGTGAGCACAAAGTTACATGAAAATGCTAACTTTTTTAAAAAGTAGAGTCTTTTGGAGGTGAGGGCAAGAGCAAAGTCTATGTCCAGTGTATTTTGAGTTAGCCAGTTAGGATAGGCAATGGAATAGAGCTTGGCATATGGGGCCTGGGTTTCTGGCCTTGTGTTCCAGTCCCACCATTCAGAAGCTGTTACCCTGGGCTCACTACTCTATCTCCCTGTGCCTTGACCTTTGTATCTACAAAGTAATCATCATCATCATCATCATCACCATCATCACCCCTATACCCTACAGGGTATTTGTGAGTACATATCAGAATTTTAAAAAAACTCTGAAAATGGTACCAAGTAAAAAACATGCAATAAATGTTAGCTAACAACACCATATTGTATGCACACAAAGGTCAATGTCTTCCTCTCACAACTGTCCTTAATTATATCTCATGATATAAAGCATCAACTGAAGGAACTCCAAACTCCACAAGTACTATGTCACTACAAGGATGAATGAGATGGGAGGGAAAAACATTTTGCTCTTTACCTTTCTCAGAAGCTTATCATGGCAACGCAGAAGTTCAAAGAAGAGTTCTAACAAACTTGATGGGTTGATGAGATTCTTGTTTCTCAGCAAGATCAAAGCTTTGCAAAATGTCTTAGGGGGGAAAAAGAAAATATACTATAAGATAATAAATTAAAGTTAAGGTGAGAAACTGAAGTATACATACTCCCTAAAAATGTATCCTACTAACTGAGAATTACTCTATACATCAGGATGGAACAGTCCTGGGCCCTACCTGAGAGTGGAACAGAAGAGGGGCTAGACAGACCAGGAGCACATAAGCAGACGTGTCTCGGATAATTCAAAGTATAATGAAGGAAGTAAAACAGGGTATCTTAGCTGAAAAATAGTGCGTGCTGGTTACCTTACACTGGAATGTCAAAAAAATGTCAATATACAATAAAACTCCAGGGATCAATGAATCCTTAAAGATAGTAAGATCAGATACACAGTAAGGAAGAACACATGCATGGATTTATAGGCCATTATATGTTTGAGTCTTATTGTAAGTAAGGTGAGAAGCCACAACAAGACTTCTAAGCTGGGGTAACATATTCTGATTACAATTCAAAAAAAAAAAAAAGCATTTGGTTGAGATATTATTCTCATTTAATCACATATGCACAGGTGCACATAGCTGAAACACTGACCCTACCATTCGAAGATCAGGATCCAAGACAGTGTGATTGTAGGAGAGGAGATCTTTCAGCTCTTGAGGAAAGTTACTTAAATGTTCTGGGTAGCAGTGACCAATCTGTAACAAAGCAAAGGTTCTTCTAAAGTTTTGCTTTCTCTCCTATAATTCATACGCACTTACTTAGGATGTTCTGGAAAGGAGGGTAAAAGACGATGTTTCATAGAAGCAGATTGTTCTGAATCTTCGCTTTCTTTCCTAATGGTAATATAGGTCTCTCCACCACCACCCCCCTTTTATATTTCCTCTAGTTTTAGTTTTAAAATATGTGATGTGATTTAGAATCTGCTCTTAGGATAAATCAGAAAGCAAGTAACTTGGAAGTTCTGCTCTGGATGGCTGGGTTCTTGAAAAGTTCTAGTGAACTCTTCTAACTCAACATAGGGAAAGGATTAAAACTTTCAAAAAGTTCTTTTTTTTTAAATCTGTTTTAAAAATTAAGTTTCCACTTGCAAGTGGAAGGAGGATGAATACTACTAGAATAAGAGTTTGCGAACTGTGACAATTAGTCTTTGTTTATTAAAAAATTACCTTACCTGGGCCAGAAACATTACCAGCTCCGCCAGCTCCTTGCTGGGTTTATTTGGTTGTAATTTGAAAATCTCCACATTAGATTTATAGTGATTGTACTGCTGTAGAAACTGTAAAAAAAAAAAAAAAAAAAAAATTGAAGTTTGTTACTTTCTATTATGACTTTCTCAAAAAAAAAAAAAGTGAAAAATTACTTAACAGTTTCTGATAGTGACACAGAGAAAAAGATATGGTGAAAGAAAGGCAGTGACACCACTGCATTATCTGCACCCTTTAAAATGAGTTCTGAAAAATTTAAGTACATCATAAGCAATCAAAAGAATCTTCATTATTACAAGTTTAGGTGGTGTAGTATAAAGAAGAGAAGCAAGAGTTAAAATCTCAGATTTTGTTCCTGTTCTGTCATTTATTATTCAAACAACCCCCCCCCCCCAATGTTGTTTACTTATGTAGAACACTCACATTAGCAGAAAAATACTGGGTGAGAAAATGTAAATAGATCTTAAGTATATGAAGCCTCCTAATCAAAATTCCCCTTTTCTTTTAAAAACTGATTAAACCTTAACCTATAGTTACAGATTGACTGTGTTAACAGTCAAAAGCAATATTCAGTTTGCTATATGCTAAGCTCATTATGTATATAACTTCATTTAATTGTGTTTAATGCTAACAACCAACAATCTAATGTTAGAATTCACCAGGTATTAATTACATGGCCTACAACTACTCTTCAATCCTAGACCATGACTTTAAATTGTGTGTGTGTGTGTGTGTGCGTGTGCGTGCATGAGAGAGAGAGAGAGAGAGACAGACAGACAGACAGATAATATGAGAAAAAAGATTCCTTTATATTATCAGCCTAACTGGTCAAATAAACCCCAAATTCATAAAGTCAACTGCCTGTCTGACATCTCTACTAGATGCCTAACAGACATCTTAAATTTTAGCATGGTCCAAAAGAAAAATAACAACAACAACAAAAAAAACAAAACTCTTGACTTCCTCAACAAAACTGCTAGGTCTCATTTTCTCCAAGAGAAGGAGGCAAGAAAGAAACCTCTAGCCCCTACATGCGTTAGCTAAGACCCTACCTCTCTCGAGTCTGTGTCTGCCTCATTATCCTCCTGGAACCAGTCATGCCCCACATTCCTCAAGCACTCCAGTTCTTTGTTCACTGTGCTATTACCCTTGAACATAATTCCGCTCAGTTTGTGGCAGTTTCATGTCCCATACCCTTGCCTCTCTCCTTGATTTCGCTTCTAGTCATTTGGAACTGTTACTCCACCTTCGCCTCACTTCACGATCATATTCCAAATCTTGTCATTAGCAACAACTACAACTCTTTCAGAATGTCCACTGAAAGTGTTTCGCTTCCAATCCCTATCTCTTCTTTTCCATTTCTTTCTGACAGTAGTATCCAACTCCAACAACCCTTTCCTCTCACTAGAATCCACAGTCCAGTAGTTTTTCCTCTGCACCCCACCTCCAACTTCTCATCCAGTTTCAATGACCAAGCATAATCTTCCTGCAGTTACTTCAGCTTACCACTCTGTTTTCTCTCATTGTGCTCCTCTGACAAATGCCCGTGAGGTGTTTTCCTTTTCTATAACTACACTCTCAGAGCTAGGCCCGGCTGGAAAATCAGCTAACTAATCTTATTTTAAATTCATTACCACAAGCTCCCCAAAGGATCTGTGCATCTGGTAATCTTACCATACTTCCCTCCTCTCCTAGACAATCAGTTTGTACTTTGTCTTCTGTTCTCAAACCCTTTCTCTGTATCCTCACTTTTCAACTGATGATATTGTCTTCAGTTTCACTAAGAGAGTAAACAAGCTGAGGATAATTTCCATATTTTAACACCCCAATTAAAAACACAGCTTCATCTTTTAAATTATCTGAGGTCATCATCTGAGGTCAGGTCACCCCCTACATCCTATTCAATCTTGGTTTGTTTCAGCAGTCTCCTCTTCCGTTTCTGTTTAAACAATTTCTGCTCCCATTAGTAAACTTACATGATGTTATGTCTGCCATCTTAAAGAAACCTCTTAATCCCACTTTAACTCCAGTTTACACTCTATATCTTCCCTTTTTTCAGAAAGTATCTTCAATGAGTTGTCCATAATTGCTGCCCAGTCACTCTTTCTCAAATAAACTTCTTAAATTGATATATACCTTATACCATAAATTTATTCTTTCAAAGCATACAATTCAGTGGCTTTAACATATTAAAAAAGTTGTGTAACCACTATCACAATCTAATTTCATAATATATTCATCACCATAATAAGGAACCCTTAACCATTAATAGCCATTTCCTATTTCAGCCCAACCCCCAGGATCTGGTAACTATTAATCTTTCTCTCTTTATGTGTGGGCCTATTCTGGAAAGTTCTTGTAA